ATACTGATATTACTTTTTGTTTTGTAAGGGGGGTTTCTTCATGATTAATATGGTCTCCCATTAATGGAAATAACAAATTTTAAATGTTGAGAAAATTTTGATGTCCTTATTTACTCTAAATTCACTGAGTTAAAAAAGATCAATAACTATACACTTTTTACCACGACRGGTTTCAAACACTTCAGTAATACGATTATCCATGACTGTTCAGTATGACATTGAAGACACGTCCGAGACAGTATAATAGACGCAATCACAGTGAGTGAATAAATACATTTTTAAATTATATATAATATTATATTAAAGTAAGCATAGGTAATAAAGATTATAGCCGATAGCAAAGTACAGCATGTATTACTTACATACAGGGGTTAAAGTGGAGGGGGACGCAGGAGGACTCAGTCCCCTTACCTCTGACGGCGGTTAAAAAGCGTCCCCTTTAACAAATTAGGATTTTATACATTAGACATTATACCTAAAATTATATATGGAACGCTTAAAACTTTATGGAGACATCAGTCCCCTCTGGAATTTTTCCCCACTTTAACCTCTGCTTACATATAAATTCGTAGTCGTGTATACTACAATAATAATCATAGAATAATCAAAATAATATGAGTTAAAATAATTGATATTAATTGGTTTGGAGGTAAAGTATAATATGAGTACCTATACCACTTTTGTAGATGACGTGTTTATAAAGATTATCTAAACGTTCTCTGATTACCCCCGGTAAAAACGAAAATACCTTTTATGTTATGTGTCCAAACGTTGTGTTTATTTGAACCCAATCGTGTTGGCTTTTGAGACAATGTGACCAAACGTTCAGCCTCAAAAAATTATTATATATTGGTGATAAACAGAATTTGGGGAGTGAGAGCTTTGGCACTCTTACTTCTTAGCCACTCCCTGTTCTACGCATATGATGATATGTAACAACACACAGACACACACGTGCCTAAAAAGGTCTTTTTCAAAACCAAAGCAACATATTTACAGTATAATAACACACTTTGTCAGAGAAAGTTAGCTTACATAACAAAGGAGGTCTGTAAAGAAATTAGTTACAAGAGTTTGTGATGAGGGAAAAACGCATCAAGCATATACTCACACATAGCAAAGGTGTGACATTCCCTCATCAATCTTGATAAATTCAGCCAACCGGCACCGGTGTTTCCCATAAATAGAATATATATACCGGTGAAGTTATAAAAYTTAAATCAGCGCCAGCCTTTATCCATGGGTTCCCGATTCCATATTTATGTATATATGTTTACACAGATATAWAAGGAAAACTATTTACCGAATACTAACGGGTTCATTTTCACGAGACGGCAGCGCATCTAGTGTGCGTGTCGTATCACAGATAATAAGGGAAATAAGTGGGCTGCTTAGGCAACTCTGTGGGGCTGGTTAAACATTTATGTTGCGGGCTTGACACAAAATCCTGCACTGCTTTCATTGTAGTTGAAAACATGAGAAATAGGAACGTCTTTCAGAATTTGAGAAATATTACTAATTTGTTAATTTAATATGAATTTYGGGCTGCGGCTCCGAGTTTTATTTTTATAATAAGCATATAGGAGAAAATATCAACTCAATTGTTTTCAGGCACATAGYACGTAGCGTAGTTACGATTTAAGTTTAGAGCCCTGTCTATCCAAATATAATTTTACTAGAAATTTTAATCTCCCGCCGCCAAAACCGTAGTTGCGTAGTATGTTTAAGCCTGTACTAAGTCAGCACAAGTAATAACTGTATAACAGCGTAGATAGTATAGATCTAATTTAATTTTTGTAATATTATAAGACGCATGGTTTATAGAACTGTTAATTAGTTTTATGTTGTAGTATGCATAAAGATTTTCTTAAGTTATACTATATCCAATTAATAAATAACCGAGTCCATAAAATTATAAGCTTACCATATTTCATATTCTACAAACTTTTTAATTTTTAGGCAGGTAGGTACTTTTATTCTATTTAGCTTCTCAAACTACATTGAGTGTCATATAAATTGAAATTCTCTATATTTGTTGATGTGAGAATATGTAAAATCTCGCATCTACTTATCTACTTATYGAATTATTGATTTWCAATTTGACATTAATTTACATTTAATAATAAATAATTTTAGAGTATAAACAATGTTGATATAGTATTTTTAAAATTATGTGTTCACCATTAATGAAATGATTGGTACAATTCAAATTATAGATAATCCCAATATCATATCTACTTTAATTAACTATAATTTTACAAATCAKTAAAATTAATTATCATAGACTGCATTTTCAAAATTTCAAAATTGTTTTTGATTTTGAAAAAGTCAACAATTTCTTGTTTCAGAACAAGGTAATATTTATACAATAAATAAATTTTTATTTTTATACAATTGAAACTATTTACATACGATTAWAATTTTTCAATCATTTTAATGTCGATTACAACATAAATATGCTATGAAAAATGTTGTTTCGCATAGATTTGTCACGGAAATAAAATATACAATCATTTTCAAATTTAGTGTTTGATATTACACACGTCTGTATGTCACATGATTCAAAACAACAGTTTATAAAGCTGCAACGTATAAGAACGTCAACTTATGAAAAATCAAAATCATAATATATAAATCACATTATATGAAAATTATACAAATTAATGTTAAATATATATATATATTCCATTTAGAGTTTGCACGGAATATTTTACATTAATTTAATTATGTTTTATAAGAAATATTTTATAAGTTCAATTTTCATGATGAAGAATCATTTCCTTCTACATAAGTGTGTGATGGCATCAATGGTTTGAACGCAGACGTAGATGATATTGGAAGTCGTTGTTGTTGAGAGGAATAGTTAGTAGAGTTAGTACATGACGATCCAGAAAAACTACTACTATGATGATCTCTGCGTTCTCTGGCCCGCCGATTTTGAAACCATATTTTAATCTGTTAACAAATAGTAGAAATTATAATATGTTAATTAAAAAGAAAAATTGAATCATACTGTAATAGAATCATTGTTAATATGTTTTATAATCAGTCTTGGTAAATACATCTTTAATGGTCGATAACATCAGAAACATCAGTTTTACATACCTTACAAATTATAATTAATATAATAAATAAAAAATATACTTTAAAGGTCAAAGGCTCGACTGTTATGCTATCTAGTGCAGAATTACTAAATAACTATTAACAAGTTAAAAACAAGTTAGAGAAGCTCACATTGCGAGCATGTTACATTTCCGTGATCTGATACGTATTTCAATACAACACAATAAATGCTGATTTCATGTTTAATCTATGTACAATAACTACGGACAATAAATAAATATCTTAACATCGACAATCCTAACTTTGTACTGATAACTAACTGACGGAAGGACACAACGGGTTTCTGTATAAGATGTTTTAAATATAAATTTAAAATTAAAATGATAAAATTTATCAAAAATTCAATTTGTTAGACAGAGACGTCCAATACGTGTATAGCACTTAACCTTCACACTTTTTACATTGTTTAAATTAATAACATAGCCCAGTTAAAATATATCATTAACTTGCCAATAAATAATACATGATAGTATACAAATTATAATCACACGGCGTTTCGGTTAGGCTATTTTGGTACATTATTATGGCTGGAAGTATTTTTTTTCTCTTTTCTCCAGGTATTTCAGTATTAGAGTCTATGTGATTTAAGAATTAATTTTTTTTTTTGGTTTTTCTATGAATACATTAATTTTCTATTAATGTTATAGTTAAAAATATGCCATATCTTTGGGTGGTTTACTGTATATTTTGGAATCCAGGTACTGATCGGAGTGAGGAATATGTTGTTTTACAATGGTTAGTATTTTTTTTTTTTTGTAATTACCAAACTTATTTGAAATGTGGAATTTTTCGATTTTCAACATTTTGTAGCAAATATTAAATATTATATTATAATAATATTCATTGAATTCAAATCGAACTCATCCATTACTGATTGTATATGTGTGATACATATTTCAAAACATATTATACAACTGTATGGATTCCCTAGTTAATAATTTTGATGAAACAGCGTTTCATATCAAAACTAAAATTTTGTTAAACGTCTTTTCTCTAATTTCATAATAAATTGTAAGATAATATATTTTTCTTAAACAATTAAATTTGAACATTAGACTACAAACTAATCAAATTGAAATACTAAAAATTCAAGGAAAAATAATTCCCCAATAAATTGTATTTCAATTAAAATATTTTTACATAATTTATATCTTCAATATTTTTTTTAAACATATTAAATGTCTATTAAGTTAGAGTAGGTATGGCTCATAGTAAATTGTTCTAGTCTTTTGAATAAAATAATTATGTTAATTTTTGAGTATAAGTTAATAATTTTTATTTGAAGATAAACTTAATCACGTGACTGATTAGTGATTATTAATAGGTACCACGTGTATCATTGAAATCAAAACTCCCGAACTATATTAAAACGGTATAACAAGTTATCTAATATAAGTTTATGTCATGTACTTTAATAATATTATAAATGATTTATAGGTAAACATTTGCATTATATAACAAGAAGATCCCGGATTTCAATGCAAAGTGCATCTTTTTTTAGTTGATCATAGACAATGCTTTCCAAGTATAAAATTCGATTCGTGTAACGAGTGTTTCAAAGCTACAAATTTTATTTTTTAATTTTTTGCTTATTTTGGCGTTTTTATGTTTTAAGAGCATTTTTAGCATTGTTGGGTCATTTTTATGGTTTTTAATGCATATTATTTCAATATACTATGTAACGGAGTAACCGTCACCACACAAAATGGTCCTTTTCAGGACCACCAATCAAGCAAACACACCGGAGTGACAATATAATGTAACACATTTACCCAACGAGACACAGGGAAAAATATAGGTTTTCATCGAGTATCGAGTAGGTTTCACCAATATGACGGGTGAAAAGGGATCGAGGTGTGGTTGTTACTTGGTGAAACAACCACCCTCGACCAATCAGAAAAGAGAATAACACAATATAGACTATATATACCGGTGCATTTTACCGGATCATCAATCATCATCAGTCTTCAATTCATCTTCTACCAGTCAACAACTCAACCACTTTGGAAGAATAGAAGACCCAAAGACCACCAGCCGTAGCAGCAGCCAACGAACCAGCCGACTACGACAAATCTCGACGAAGCCGACCCAGTTCGACCAGCCGGCGCCGACAAACCGATCGACGTAGCCGACCCGGATCGACCGGCCGACGTCAACGAACCTCGACGAAGCCGATCTAGACCGACTAGATGGCAGCCACGAGAATATTGACGTAACCGAACCAGACTGACTGGTCGGGACCTACGAGCATATCAACGAAGCCAACCATGCATCGACGAGCGACCAACATCGACAACTGTATCAAGACATATCAACGGCCGACCTTCCAGCGCAGTCAAACAAAACGGTTTTTTTCAGAACCAACAACAACACCACGTCCCACCCTCGGTGCGCCTGCTTAGGTGTCACTGCGAGAAAGGACCGCGCGGAGCACGACTTGCTTCAAGCAAGTTGCTTGAGTCCGTGCACGAACGAGCTTAACTCTCCAGTTATTATTATATAATTAGTCACAATAAACCAATAACACCCAATACCTGTAATCACTTCGCACCTCTACAGGTCCGAACCCGCCCGTCGCGGCCCGGTTCCACAAGCCAGCCGCGCGGCCCGGGGTAATTTGTCCCGTATGTATATAACACAACTGTACTATATATAAATCATACAATAAAAGGCATTATTTGTATGCACATCGTACATTCATTCATGATCACGATTCACGATACGTCGAGTAACGACGGTCTGTATCAACTATACGAATTTAGCGTATTTATTTAATATATATTTTAGTATCTATATTTAGAATGAATAATATTGCCCCAAAATATATGCGTGTTAACATCATAGCAGCATCAAGTCAATTTTTCCAATTTTTTTTCAATAAAGTAATAAATATATTTTAATAATAAAATCCAAATTAAAATAGCAAATCGTATAAAAATAAATATTAAATATTATAAAAGGTAATTTGTTGAGGTAAAATCCATTTTTTAAAGACATTTTCGGCTATTATTTAGAGTTTTAAGTGCATTTAAATCCAGGCCCTTATAATAAGTAATATATATATATATTGAACTAAATAATATTTTTTAGATTTTGAACGGGGCGATAATAGTTAGTTTCAGGAAGAGAGTTCGAATGCAGAAATTATCTAGTGATTTACAAAATAATCAGGAAAAACAAAAATATATATTAAGAATAAATTTAAATATTTACACAAAACCTGCAGTTTTCGGTAAAATTTATTTTTTTGTATTGTTATAATCTTTTTCAAAAATGTACATCGGTAGATATTTAAAAATATCTCAAAACAATAAAGCTAGAATTTTACAGCAAATTTTTATTAAATAAATATTTTAAGTATCTTAATGTTCTATGGCCATTTGAACTTTCGACTTAGGTATATGTTTGAAAATACTTTTTGTTTGTGACTAAAAAAGATTACACATTTAATAAACAGTTATCCATTAGATTTTCTTACAGTAATTAAAACATTTCGAAATACATATACATATTATTTTTTATAAGAGATTGTTTTTATTTTTGATGAAGTTTATCAATACTGCCAACATTTGCAAACTATTTTACATTTTATATTTGAAAATGTATTACTTTGAAATTTTTATATTTCAAGTTTGAATATTTTACACATGGTTTTATAAGATTTTCTGACAAGAATTAATAAAAAAATGTTATGTTAAGTCACGTTCATTATTTATAAGATACTTTTTTAATTTCAAAATTGACGAAATCTAGAATTATTTTATATTCATTAAGATGGTAATCTTCTCAGATTAGAATCATTTTTCTACGTGAAGATTTATCTGAATTTAAATTTCACTCATCCATTATAGTGACTTATCAATGAATAGATACACTCGATATATTGTATTCAGATAAGCGRTTTCCTCGGTTTTTATTATCAATACATTATCACACTAATGCTAGACTATCATAAATCRTGAATATTTATATTTTTTTTCAAAATAATGAGATATTTCTGATGCACATCAATTTCCTCCCGTTTATTCTATTTTATTGTATTTTTGATAACATTTTTTGTCAGTTAAAATGTTTGAAGTCGGTACTTAAAAAATATTATTTTTTTATAACATAGGTACTCACTCTACTTTCCGATAGTCGCAACCTGTCAGACAATACGTGTACATCATTAGTTCCTCCTAAATATGCGCTGCGCCTAAATTCATGTTCTAATACCGTAACTTGTTGAGTGGTAAATGGTATTCTTGGATTACGTCCAGGCCTCCGTTTCTGTCTGTGTTGTMCGTCTTTCTTTTTTATCCCTATACGTATAAAACATATAATTAATAATATTATAATTCACATGAGGGTACGGGGGAAAAATAGTAGTAGTCATCTCTGTAAATTTTTCAGGGGAGCAAAAATAAAGTTAATAGAATTCTACCCATCTAATAATTAAATAAAAATGATATTTTATGAACTATTATATTAGTAAAATGTACCAACTTTGAAATGTAATTAGAATAAATTGAAAATTATAATAATTATTATAAAAAAAAAAAAAAAAATATAGACTTCAATCTTTTTCTCCGGTAACTCCGGTAACCCGAGTAACTCGTGTGTAGTGGCACGCAATTTTTTCAAAACATCTCGTTCTCTACCTATTTCAACTCTTTTCTTACATGTACGTTACTTATTGCTAATATCATCACTAGAATCACTAAATTCACTATCCATCGCGAAAAATAAAAAATGACGAAAATGTAATAACAGATGATATTAATGTCATTGTAATATTATCGTTGAAACGTGCTACTGAAAATACATAGTACAATATTATAAATTTATAAATAACACAGTAAACAAACGTCGTAAAACGATAGTGAAATAATAATAATATTAGATATTTCGGAGTCATATCTAACATAAGATAATTAAAGTTTTACATGGTCTTAAAATAGTAAAATATATACAAAAGATAGATACATTTAAGTTTCAAATTTTATTATGAACGATGTACCAGTAAGACTTCTAAGGTAGGTATAACTTTTTTTTTTTTGTATTTACCGTTGTTCTATATTTAAATTATTTCTAATGAAAAATTACAGAATTTATTATTTAACAGACCTATTATATGTATGCATTAAGAATAAAACAACTTTTTCATCTCATTCAAAATGTTTTTACAATTTATTTATGCATTTATTACATATTTTATATTTATATTTGTTAAAGCAGCTCTACCTTGGTAGAGTAGTGAGTGGAGATTCATACATGGCACAATGCATACATTTTGAGTGCTTAATTTCAAAGACGTAAWTAAATACATTATTTATCTTATTCATTCATACTCAATCTAAATTTTCCGAATAGTGACTCTATTAAACAATACAAAATTGTATCTAGGCTAGATGTTTACAGAAGAGAATTGTTGGCAATATTGTTACGTTAAATGTATAACCAACGTTTAAAAAAAAAAAATTTAAAATCGTAGGGATGCATATTCTAGAAAAAATGCACATAAGCTTCACAATAACATTAAACATGATAGGTATAAACCAGCAGTTCTCACTAAGATGAACACCCTTTACCAAGGGTCAAATAAAATTATTAAAAAATTACTTGCGGYCACTTACATTTATTTWTTTTTTTATTTTTTACCATACTTATTTTAATTTACATTTCTTTTTAAAATATTTGTACAATAAGTAAAATAGCTGAAGGTATACATAAGAAAGCTTAATTGGCTTGATTGAAAAAAAAAACTATTAAATAATAGTACTTAATTTTACGTTTTTAATGACAATAATTATCAATATAAAATTGTACAACTACTRCAGTTCACTGAATTTAGTGAAGAATTGTAAAAAAAAAAATAATTACAATAAAATGAAACCGGATATTTTGTTAGGAAAATTTCATGAAAGACATAGGTACTTAAATGTTTTTCTTGGATTTGGGATTTTAGATTTTAGAATGTACAATTTAATTTTAGTGCG